GGGCCATATCACCAGGGACAGACCTCAGGCCAGAGGAAAGTAAGTTTTACTTACAAGACATACAGTGTGAGTCTGATATACACGCAGCTGCCCCAGGCAGAAGAGTGAGGGGAAAGCAAACATTTCTTGCCAGCCCAGGCAGTCATGGCCATACAGCAAGGACAGCATGTACCCTCCTTGGGCAACTGTTTCAGCCTCAATGCAGTGCTCACTGGTGCATGGGGAACATGGAGGTCCGTGACTGCTGAGGCAGCCTGGTGTGGAAAACGGTCATGCAGTAGGTCACGGCAAGAAGCAAGAAGAGGGGTACCCTGGGGCATCTTCTCTCCTATCCCAGCCAGCCTTCCTTCCACTCACACCTGCTTATGTCTGACCATGGCTGGGCACTGAGAAGGGATTAGAGAAAAACAGGCCAGGTCACTCTTTCCAATAAACTAGGCATCATTTGGGAGCATGCATCCCTGCTGTGTCCACCCTCAAACACTTCTGGGACTGTGGTAAGGGCATGTGATCACCTCTGGACTGGATGAAAGAACTATTCCTTGTGGTCAGACTCTTGGCGAGATGTTTCTGGTTCTTGCTGTCTTAGCCATAGAATTGAAAGTTGGCACACACAGGTGTGCAAAGACACATGAGTGTGCAAAGCAACACAATAATTTTATCTGGAGAGAAGCCATTGTGCAGATTATAGAGGGATACACAATTAAGTTTAACAGTAGGCCACAGGAGTGAGAGTACTCAAGGGCCCCAGGCTGTCGACTGGAGTCTCATTTTGTGGGGTCTAAAGGAGGATGGAGCTGGTTACTCAGGGGTCTAGTTTGGGTGGTTCTTTAATTTGACTGGTGGATTAGGTCATGCATTCATTTTTTCCCTACTGCTCATGTTTCTTTCCATATGCATATGATTTCATATTCATGCTCAATTATGCATATACATAAGACAGTGAATAGGGTATAAGGACACAATTTGCCTTACTGTACATGTACCCAAAACTAGTTCAAGCCAGATCAGCCTTTCTATTTTTCCTACCCACACTGGGAATGATGCACTTGAATGGTACTTTGATTGTTGTTGGGGCAGAGAAACATTTATTATTGTTGAATACATGTAACTCATTGCAGTTGGGGTTCTGAGGTTGAAAGGTGAGTTTTTTGGAGCAGTGTGAATGTGTGTATTTGTGTGTGTGTTAAGTGCAAGTAAAAGAGCTAGGCTGAGAAGTGGAGATAGATAGATAGATAGATAGATAGATAGATAGATAGATAGATAGATAGATAGATGGATGGATGGATGGATAGATAGATAGATACATAGATACATAGATACATAGACAGACATACAGAAAGATAGATAGATAGATAGATAGATAGATAGATAGATAGATAGATAGATAGATAGATAGACAGACCCAAGTAGAGTCCTAGGTTCTTAACCATTCCTATGTTGGCCCGCCTCAGAACCCTGAGTTGTTTAAGCTCTCCCCGAACTCTCAGAATTCAGCTAGCATTCACTAAGATGAAGCCTTCTTCACCAGGAGGCTCTAAGCTGAACACAAAGGAAGATAGGACATTCACAATCAGAAAGCAGGTACAGGAAATGCTGGCTAACTGACGTCAAATAGTTCCCTCGGTGGCTCCCCAGCCCCATGTATTCCCATGGCATCTCTACAGCTCATCATCTATGCTCCCTTTTGTGTGTCTTCAGGATTTGCATGAGCAGTATTTTGTTCCTCTGTGTAGAAGCACAAGCAATAACAGATCAATATTTTGAGCAGCGAGAGCAGCTCCTCTAGACTCATTTGTCTGCCAGGGATGCGCTTTGAGGACTCCCACGAGAGGCAGTCATTATATTTTGCAGGTAAACCCAGGAAAGTTTGAGTGATTTGTTCAAAGTAAACAGCCCGTAGACACCGAGGCAAGCTGGCTGAGCTGGGCGATGTGGCCCCTAGAGTCATGTTCTGCTCTAGTGAGCAGCTTCATGGGAACCAGCACATTTTGGAGTTGTCTCAAAGGCTGGAAGAGGAACAGAACTGAATGTGTTTCATAGCCACCAGCTTAGGTCTAAGAGTCCTTCACACACACACACACACACACACACACACACACACACACACACACACACACACAGCTGTTCTTTCTTTGGTTTAATAGTTTACCCTGGGGTTTCTTTGGCCAAAGTTTCTAAGGGTGAATGGGCAGTCATTGTCATTGGCTCTCCCACTGTCTAGCAGACAGGGTTGAGAGCACATCTAGGACTCTCTGTCTGTGGGTGAGCACTGTGATCTTCTAACCATGACTGGGAAATGGGCAAAAGGTGTGTGAAATCATCTGTACAAATCCCACTTGGAGATGTTGCATAAACATGATCATAATGAAATACCTGAGGCAGGTTAGCTTGATTTAACAAAAGAGATTTGCTTAGTTCACTGATGTGAGGCTTCAGGGGCATGTTGCTGGCATTGGTTCCGTTCTGCACACACCTTCCTTGGTGTCATTGTCCTGAGACAGCTAATGATATCATGTGGCAGGGAGTCTATGTTCATATCTGCCAGTCTGGCCTCTCTCCTACTTCTTAGAAACCATCAGTCATGGGAGCTCTGCCCTAATGACCTAATCTAGTCCTAATCACTTTCCAAAAGGGGTTCATCTTTAGACCCCATAGGGAGGTTTTGTTTGGATGATGTTTGTACCATTAATGAATGACTCTGGGGACTCAACTTCCATGTGAGTATGGTGGGCTGGTAGTCTCATTGAAACTAGTCTAGATATCCAGGCATCACAGAAAGGATCTGGGTGATGTATGCTAGGATACAGGACTCTGGTCCTAGACAGGACAATAGATACATAAGCTGGCAGAGAGGGAAGGAAGAGCAAGACAAGTCTTTACAAAGGATCCTACCCAGAAAAAAGGCTTGAATATTCACCACACAAAATCCTTGAGACAGGGTGAGGGTAGGCTCCGTCCATCAGTAGAGTGTTTGCCATGCCAGCATAAGGACCTGAGTTCAGATCCCCAGCACCTATGTCAAAGCTGGGTGACGTAATGCACACCTGGAATCCCAATATTGGGAGAAGGCAGAAGCAGATGGATTTCTAGAGTCACCAGCCAACTGGCCCACCTGAGTTGTTCAGGTTCAGGTTCAGTGAGAGAACACTTGTCAAAAAATAAGGTGCATACTGCTTGAGGAACACATCTGCTGTCAACCTCTGGCCTCCACATTGCCAGGTATACATGTGCATGTACCACATAAACACAACAGAGAGAGAAAGAGGATAGAGGTAGAGAGGAAAAGACCTTGGGAGATGCATAATGAAGTCAATTTCCAGCAAAGAATAATAGACTCAGACAGCCAATACCTAGGAGGTACTTTAGAGATCATTAGGGCAACTCATTAAGCTGTTTCCATCCAAGCTGCCATCTTGGGTCCTCTGTGGTGCATCCTGGAGAATTACTGTGGTAGGGATTCTGGAACTGTTTGAACAGAGAAGAAACAGAGCCATGGTGATCAGTGACGTGTCCCATGGGCGTGAGAGCAGGCCTGGCACACAGACCAGTGGTTGCCATTCCTAGAGGCCAGCGCTCTCATTGGGAGGCGAGGAAGTCCAGGTTGCAAGAACCTGGACATCACCAAGGTCTGCCCCACTGGAGGCAAAATGAGAATTAGAATCTTATTTTATGCTCCATACCAGCGAGTACTCTGTCTACTGTACCATGCCGTCTCTGGGCACTGGTGGGGAGCCATAATCAATTCTCAGTGTGTCCAATGGGGGTAAACATCTGAGATAGAAACTGAATATTGATTCTGATCTCTACACTTGTACACCCACATGCCGCTGACCTTCACCTGCACTCATTTATTGAACAAACAAGCCTTTGAGCCAGTTTACTGAACCTCACTAACCCGGCTAATCTCCATGTTGTTTCAGGATGATTGTCCCCATTGCTTGAGCACCTACTGCATACCTAGAGCTTTAGATGTAGTACTGTATTAAAAACCTCCCCCAAACCCTAGAAGGAACTATGAGTACCCATGCCTTTGTGAACAGAAAAAAAGGAGTCCAAAAGTATTACCCAACAAGACACAGCTCATGAATGGCTAGCTCCAGGAATGACCCCAACTCCAAACACTTTCTTGGATATCCTTATTTGGGAGATACCATTGGGTCAGTCAGCAATGGTAAAATCTCTATGCTCCTTGCCTCAGTACCAGACAGACATGAGCTGCCTCTCAGATCTCAAGGATGACACTCTTCTGTCCCTTCATTTCTCAAAAGGCAGACATTAGTACATGCTCACTTCCCAGGTTCCCACCTTGGCAAGAGGAAGCTTCTTCCCTCAAACTCCACTGAATACCATCCTTACATGAATACTCAAGTTCAAGTGCAAAGTTCTGATCAGGACCCTGTTAGCCCTGGGTTCCTCCTCCTGTGAAGAGCAGGCAGAAGCAACTCTGTTACTTTGCTGTGGTGGCCACAACGGAATACTACAAACTGGCTCAACACCTGGAATCATTGCCTTTCATAGTTCCAGAGGCCAGAAATCCTATTGATAGAATTGATTCTCAAGCCCTGTCCAGACCTCTTCCTGACTGCTGTGTGGTCATCTTCATGTTCACATCTATGGTGACCTCTCAGTAGCCTCACATAGTATCCTTTCTATGTTCAAGTGGGTTACCCAGCTCCATTCCTTCACATTCAAGTGTCCCCTTTTATAAGGATACAGATTAGGTTAAGATGCACTCAATGCCCTCATTTACACTTACTTGATCGACTGACTCTATGTAGACCCTGGTTCCAAAATATGGTCTCGTTCTGTGTTACTGGAGGTTAGAACCTCAACATATGAAACGTAATTCAACCCACAGCAACATCTGTGTGTCCATGTGTAGCACAATAAGGGATGTCATATTATTATGAAAATTTCGAAATGTCTAACAATGCTGAAGTATCTCCATGGTGGACCACCCAAAGTGGGCACTCATGCAGAGTGCACACTGACCTGTGTCAGCCCATGGCAACATCCTGGACAATCCTCTGAACAAACAACAGGACAGCAGAGAGTCTCTAAAACCCCTGTAATTCAGAATCATTCACCGAGTCCCTATGAATCCCACACAAAGCACGGTGTGTAATCCTGGACCAGCCTGTGGGGACACATCACGCAAGATGACCGAGTGAACTTACTCAGTATGAGAGGCTCAATGGATGATTGCTTGCTTGACTGAATCTGAACATTGACTAGCAATCTCCCTCAAAAGATGTCCAAACATAGCAAACGCCCCCTGGAGAAGAAATGTATTTTTAGGAGTAGTTTTGATGGCACAGTTCTTAAAAGGGACTCAAGATGGTACTCTGTGGCAACCCTGAGGCTGACAGCTCATGCTCTTTCTACAGGATTTTCTTTTTCCCCCTCAGTTTTCCAGTTTCTGCCCATCCCCTCGTGTAGGCAGAAATTAAAGCTATGGTTTGGGCTGAAGATGTAGCTCAGGGGTAGAGAAGTAGCCTAGAATGCAGAATCCCTGGTTCTATCGCTAACACTGTAAAATAAAAGTCCATATACTTATGGAGGATTGAAAAGGATTGCTGTGGAAAGCCAAGTGAGAGAGTGAGGCGATTTAGCCAACAAAATGAACAAAACAACCTCATGAGGGTAGTGACTGGGATCTGTGGGTGCCTCCCTAGCCTGGAGACTAGGTTAATATTAACAGGCTTGAGTTAATGTGGGATTGTGCAACTGGGGCCTGGCCACCAACTCCCGTGGATGGTGCCATCATTCACCTCATCTCTGGAACCTCAGTTGCCCTCCATGTAATGCCTGGGAGGGAGGAAGTCAGTCCTGGCAGTAGAGTGGTACCATATGCTGTGTTGATGTCATTCTGAACCAAGAATGTTAGCTGGTCCCACCACATCAGGGTCCCTCCCCCCCCCCCCCCCCCCCCCCCCCCCCCCCCCGCAGGCTCTGAATGTCAGGAGCAGAGGGCCTTTTGAAGGCATCTGTGTCACTGTCTTTGACCACCAGGAACATGCACATAGGCAGAAGGACAGATGTGTGCAATAACGGGAGGTCTGGGGTCTACTCTCTCTGGTCTTGCCTCCATCGGACTCCCCTTCATCACTGCTAGAGTGAGCCACCCCCACCCCCATGACATTTAATAAAAAAAAATAACCCCCCTTTTTTGAGACAAGGTTTCTCTGTGTAGCCCTGGCTGTCCTGGAACTCACTCTGTAGACCTTGAACTCAGAGATCTGCCTGCCTCTATCTCCTGAGTACAGCATTGGCTGTCTCCAGTGAGAAGCCGGAGGTGGTTTGGAGTAGTTGCCTCCATGGCCAGGACAGCTTGGGGAATACTGTATTCTTTTTTCCCACTTGGATGGGAATGTTTTAATGGCTCTGAGAAGTCCTTAAGTGAAGACTAATCCAAAGTTCTCCAAATTCACCTGACCAAGAACCCCCTCCTGGTAATCTATGAAGTTCCTTCCTGCAGGTCCCCATTAAGGCAAGACTAGAGCTGCCTCCTGGAGTATCCTGGCCTCCTGGAGCATCCTGGCCTCCTGGAGTATCCTGCCTCCTGGAGTATCCTGCTTCCTGAGTACCCTGCCTCCTGGAGTATCCTGCTTCCTGAGTATCCTGGCCCCTGACACATCTTGCCTCTTCTGCCCCTTTCTTCCCCAGGTACCCCTTCCACTTGCTTCTTAAACTAATGTACCTTTTTAAACATTAGAGCAGAAAGTGAAATAGTCTGTGTCCACCCTCTCACACCCTCCACTGCTTTGAGAGAACTGCCTGTTCACTGACCTTAACTATGGCAAACACACCTGGTCCCTCTCTTGCTTGCTTGTCCTCCCGACGCCCACACAGATCACTCTTTTACTCGCCTTGTGTCTCAGGTGCCATCTTTTAAGTGGGCCAAGGGATCACAGAGCAGGATCCTCATTCCAGCAGAGCATTTTCTCCATGGGGCTCCTCACTTTCCCCCTTGATATGCACCTGCTGTATGTGCCCGAATCTCTCAATGACAACCTTCCTCCAGACACACATCCTCGTCTGTTTTGTTCCTGGTGGCACACCAGTGCCTGGCACACGATACATGCTTGGTAAATAGTTGGCAGGTGAATTAACATGTGTGCTCAGAGGGAAAAACACACACGTGCACTCTTGCATTGTCACTAGACTCTCCTTAGCTTTTAGCAATCTTTCCATGTTAGCCTTCACAGAACCTTTTTAAAAAGTCTTGCATGTGTAAGTGATGGGGGTATGTTCGAGGGTGGGCCTTCTGCACGGATGTCAGAGACAAGCTTGTGTCTCTCCTTCCCTCCTTAGAGACTGTCTCTTATTGGTTCTGTAAGGTTATCTCTCAAGCTTCCAGGGAACCCTTCGTCCCCACTTCCCATCTTGCAGTAGGAATGCCGGAACTGTAGCCGTGCGTGCTATCACACCTGGCTTTTATGTGGGTTCTGGAAACACAAACTTGGGTCCTCACGTTGGCATGGCAATCTCTTTGTTCACTGAACCATCTCCCCAGCCTCGCCCAGGGCCTTGGAAAAATGCTGTATCCTGTTTCATTTCAGGGATGTACCAAGTTATAAAAAAGAAAAAAAAAAGAGATTCCATGTGGACTTTTTCCCCTCTTTGATTGGGGCTACAGTGAAAAAGAATGTCATGCTTTGCTGTCATGTTGTGTGTTAACTGTCCTGGGCAGTAAATTTATTGACAGCCGATGGTAGCAAAAATCCATGAGAGTATATAACAGTGACAGCTAGAGTTCAGAAGGTCAACCAATCAGAACTAAGGGTTCTGTTAAAGGAAACCATCACACAAGGTGTTATGGAATTACTGCCTTTTGAATGAACGGGCTGTCTCTTGTAAACTTCTTGTGCAATAACAGCTGTGATATTTCCCCATTTACCGTGCATCTTCATGTTATGTGTACATGTAATCTCACCGTTGCGTCTCAATCTTGGGCACAACTTTCCCTATACATTTGGGGTAATTGGACAACTGTTCCCAGCTGTGTTTATTTTTCATTAACATAAATCTGGCCAGGGCCATTCTCCAGACTAAAGCATTTCAGCAAAGATACCTTTTTCCAAGAACAAAACTGCACATAGATAAACACTAGCTCATCTCCCTCACAGATAGAGAAAAGAACCACTAACAATTTAATCCTCAACCCCTTACCTTCACCCTGGGTTATTTATACAAGACTCTAACTTAAGAGATTGACTGCTCACATTCCTGGGATGAAGTTTTAGCCATTTGCTAGTTACTGAGTTAAGGCAGTTACTTCCCACTGACCCAAGGAGATTACCTCCAGGCCAGGTAGGTGATAGGTGCCAAGCTTCTTTGTTGTGCAAAGTAAGTTTTGTATTCTTCCTCAGTCAGGTGCTATTCCTAGATTTTCTCCTTAGCAACTACTCTGAGCAAAAGCGCTTTTACTAACCAAATGCTGCATGCTCTGACATGGGGGGGAAAGTGGCGCCAAGGACAGTTTACTTTCTTGTGACATACTGACCCCTAACATTCTACCTAGCCATTTCTAGATTATAGTTTGAGCACATAAATTCCCCAATTGATCTTAGCATTTAGTTGACTCTACCAGAGAACTCCCCTTTAGTCACTCCCCTTTTGGGTTGTAATTGGAAGCTGACAATTAATTGCTCTATGTGTGGATCCTTATCACCTCTCTCTGCCACCCTGAAAACTTCAAGCCTCACATCGCTTTGCCAAAGAATTACTGTCTGGGTATATATACTGGTTCTCTGAGAGCACTGAGAGAACTGATTGAGAAGAACAAAGATGAGGACTGAGATGGAAAGAACTAGGTAGAATGATGAGAGAATAGCAGAAGGGACTGAGACCAGGAGGAACTGAGAGCAGGAAGGACTGAGAGGAACTAAGTAAGAGAGCAGAAAAGAAACTGTGTAGATAGAATTGACTTAGAAGAATAAAGCGAGTGGACTAAAGAACTCAGTGTGCTTAGATTCACTGAATATCCCTCAGATTAGAACCCTCAGCTGGTTGGTAGACTCTACTACAGACCCTGGGAGCAAACAATATAGGCTGGACCTATATTGTTTTTGCTATAAATTCCCAGGTGGGCTTCCTGGCTGAAAGTGGGAGTGTTTTCACCTTTAATAGTTCTTACCAAGTGGTCCTCCAATGAGGTGGCACCGATTTCCCTTTCTTCACATGACAGGACAATGTCTGTTTTCTCAGATGCTCATAGCACCTGGTACCAGTACCCCGTGTCTGTGCCAATTGAACAGGTGGACAATGCCATGCTCTTAATTGGATTTGCATTTTTTTAATTGCAGGAAGTTAGGAAATTTTACAGATTTCCATTGGCCATTTCTGTTTCTTTTTTCTTTTTTTTAAGTCTGCTGCTTATATTACTCACGGAGTTTTCTGTTGGTTTTAATAAGCGGCACTATTACTGTGTGAGAAAGGTCATGAGGCACGACAAAGTCCATTATCAGAGCAGAGTTTTATTAGAAGGGAAGGGGGAGGGACAGAAGATAGCTTGACCAGGCCTGTGCACAGAGAGAGAGAGAGAGAGAGAGAGAGAGAGAGAG